GTTGGTGGATTTTTGTTGTTGCCGATGTTACTCACCTGGCTGCCACTTATCGTTCCTTGCCATATAGCTGAAAGTCGTAGCTTCTGGTCATAGTAAACCTTTACCAAACTTTCTTGTCGTTTCTTTTTACTGTGTTTTTAAACGCAATATCGAGTCTTGTCAAAGTGTTTTATGAAACTTTCGCGTTGCTTGTTTGTCGTTTTAGTTTGCGAAACCCTTCACAACGAATGCCACTGTGATCCTCTGAAGTCAGTTGTAAAATGCCTTTCAAGAAGAACGTACATCACAAAAGTGAAAGCCAGTTGATGTTGAACCGTCCTGGTTCACCGGCCAACGAAAATCAGGTGGTTTGAAATATTATTTATTTGATTAATTATTCATACTATACCAAACCGACCATATACCTGAAAGCATCTTCGATCATATTGAGACAACAGAAAGTCGGCAAAGTAGTCGGATAAGAACAGAAAAGGCGAACAAGGAGCATCTTAACTATCCCCTGGGATGATCGGGGCTTGCTAGTCGATAATCAGAACAGTGCACAAGCTTTTGTGTTCATGTTGTCATTCTTCTGAACGGATGTTGGCATCCTTCGCTGTCATGCCAAGATGATAGGGACGTGCCAAAGGGATGTATTAGGGGCTTGATGAAAAGCTCTGCTCAACAACGGAGGAACCACTACTGTTCGGTTAGCCTACACGTTTGGTATAGCAATCTGCTACTATGTCATATACTACGACGTCGGCAGCACAGTATGTCAATGTATGCAATTACAGGCCTTTCGTGGCACCCTTCCACGGCGATCAGTTCAGTCAGAACAGGAGTACTGCTTGAGAACACGTGAGAATACGGACAACGAAAGTCTGACCGAAATCCAGAAGCAGCTGACGGATATTGTGCTTCGCCACCAATCGTTATGTAAGGTGTTTTGTATATTTTTCTGTGTGGGTGTTGCACTAGTTGATCTCCATAATCGCAATGCAGTCGAAAGTTTCCTGAACATCGATGAGGAAAAAGAGAGCGTTGACAGTGACATCGAGGCAGCGGAACAACAGCCGAAACCTTCCGGCGTTTTTCGTCACATTTCGCCATCGTAATGGCTGTTTTATTGTTCATTTTTCATAAGTGATCCTAAATTTTTTTTTCAGATTTCAGAGTTTCGTTTCCTCTCCACCGGAACTTATCGAGATGACTGCCAAGGAGGAACCCGTCACTGAGCAGCGTTAGTGCTTTCCATGAGTACCTTCCCTTCGACCTTTCTTTTTAGTGACATTTTGGCAACAAATATGGGCTTTTATGATTTCTTACTTCGCCGATATTATGTACTCGTTTTCCGAAGCTGCAAGCGCCGAACAGATAGCCTTGCTTCCGAAGCCCTTCAACGCTGGCGAGTAATACTTGCTTAGTTATTCATGCTCTTTGTGCGTT